AAAAGTTACTTCTAATTTTAGTATTATTTTAAAATGTTTAATAGTAGTATTATAGAAGTAACTTTTCTTTGTAATTAATACTATAACATTATTATTAAAACTTTTAATACTATAATACTATTATTAAAAATTCTAATACTATAATACTACTATTAAAACTTTTAAAATAATACTAAAATTAGAAGTAACTTTTAATAGAGAATACTATAGGAATTTTAATATTATTTTAATACTACTAATGATACATAAATATTAAATTAACTTTAGTATTTTTCTATTTTAGTTTAAACCTAATATATTTGTTGTTATAAATTATTTTAATACTTTAATTTATTTTTTGCTGATGTAAAATATTTTATATAATTTATATTTTTATGATAAATATTATATAAATAATGATTGATTAATTGACATATGTTGGATCCACGTCTAACGTACAGTCAACGTGCCACACCAGCTTATAGAGTAGGTTAGACCATATTTGGATAGGGACTTGAAAGTTCAGGGACCGGGATGACACTGCTGGCCAAGTTTAGGGACCTGTGGTGATCCTCTTGAAAGTTCAGGGACCAGGATAATATCGCTGGCCAAGTTTAGGGACATACAGATATTATTTTAAAAGTTCAGGGACTTGCATAATAGCACTGGCCAAGTTCAGGGACCGAACCTGAATTTTGCTTGGCAAGAAATGGTAGACCATGAATTGAGATTGGAGCCTACAATACTAGTAGTACCAAACAATCAGATCTATCCACTTGAATTGTGCTGGCTTGGAATCAAACCGTTGCATTGTCATGGGACAAATAAATGGTGTAACTGATACACTCTTGTGATATCGAGGTGGTCTGCCCACTTGATATTGTTCGGTGGTATGCATAGACAGCCTGTTGCTTTATTTGTTCTAAGAGCATGTATAATAATTGGTTTATAGTCAAGCAAATATTGATGTAGAAAAGAGAAGGGAGGAGAGAGAAGACAACTTAGTTATCATGCAAGCAACAAGCTGAACACGAAAGCATATATAGTGGTGTGTTCGTGCATTAAGTCAATGTGAGGAGCATTAGGGGCCTGTTCGGCAGCACTGAAAAATACTGTTTCGGCTGATTGTTGTGAGAGAAAAATACTGTTCTGGCAGGACGTAAATAGTGATTTTGTGAGGTGGCTGGCCAGCCGGCAATCAGCCAGCCAGCAAGCCGAACACGGCCTAGGAAAGAGAATGTGGGATTTGGCCAAAAGTAATAATAAAAAATTTTCTTATAAACAAATAAGAGACAACTGTTAATAGGACTTAGCTCTTCCAAGTTGGTTAATAGTCAAGCACTTGACTTTATTATTGGGCTTGCTCTGACAATCTTGGTTACCAATGCCTTGAAAACTGTTACACACAACTTGAGATTTGTTATTTTGGTGACAAATATAGGCTTGATTCTTTTCACCTTGTTAAAATTTGGCTGGTTGCGCTGGGTTGGGGCTGGCCACCAACCACGTGGGTCAAGTCTTATTCATATGAACAGTGTCTTTCATCATGCGAACATTATTTTCTCACATCCATCTGAGAACAGTATTTTGATTATTTTTTTCTCACACTCCTTTATCTTTTCTAGCAGACGTGGAGGTTGGAGCCGAATTAACTAATAATTATGCAAACAGATGATCCACAACTTGTGCTGGCCAACAGGCTTGGTCAGGCTGCACAGATGCTTGTCAACTGTTAGGTGAGGTTGATTCCTTTATCTTTTCTAGCAGACGTGGAGGTTGGAGCCGAATTAACTAATACTTATGCAAACAGATGATCCACAACTTGTGCTGGCCAACAGGCTTGGTCAGGCTGCACAGATGCTTGTCCATTGTTAGGTGTGGATGCTTTGTTTTTTCCTTTTGGATTAATCACGTATGATAGTTTATTGTAGGATTTTTAGTAGTTCGATATGCACAGATCTACTGCCCTTGTCTATAAATATAAGGACTTCTGATTTATTTTTTTGTCCTGAGTCAGATATTCTAAGCTAGATCTGGTTCAAAGGGGAAACCAACATTGAGCGTCCAAAGGGAAGCTTGTTACTCGGTCAAAAAGTCTGGATGAATATATCGTTTGTTCTACAGCACTACTTCAGCAATATTTTTTAGCAAATAAATAATATTTTTCTCTCATAATATTTTAGAATAAGCATTAACATAAGCCAAATTTCATCCGTATATACTAAAGTTCCTAGATTCGGAGCGGAGCTTCCTCGTGCATCCTGGCCCCACATGGAACCCGCGTATTGGCAGGTACATTGTATTGGAAGTATAAAATATATTTAATTTTTCCCTATGTATGAAAATAATAACTAACTCCGTGAACTACGTTCATCGGTGGTAGCACTACTATTTTTTGGACAGCTCTGTTTGGCTGCCGGTAAGTGCAGCTGCTGCTTGCTGTCAACACAGTATTTTTTGTGAGAGCCAGCTGGTCAGCTGGAGCAGCAGCAGCCAAAGCGGCTCTGAAAACCGGCTAAACTCGCAAAATATAATTAAATTATTCATTCTTTGCTAACTTTATCTATTACCTCTATCGACTATCACAACCAAAAATCAGTATAGCATAGCACGTCAATCCGGCAGCTATTTACTAAGACCCAAAAAGTCAATGGATTTCTAAGAAAAAGGTTATACAGTGCTCAGATGACGTACCACTATGATAAAAAAAAATATTTGAATTTAATATTGGATGCGATCAATTTGATTTTAGATTATATTTTATTTTTTATTTTCTTTGAGTATGGTAAGATAACAAATTCGCATGAAGTAGTCACGAGTGTGCGTCTGTGTATACGAGTGTCCGTATTCTGTTTTAATTATGTTCTTTGTCTGACTAGTTTTTTCTTCGCCAAATTATCCGAAGCTTATGCCATTTTTAACCCAATCGTGGATGTTATGCCTGTCATACCTGTATTCTTTTGTCTATTAGCGTTTGTTTGGCAAGTTGCTGTAAGTTTTCGATGAAATCTTTACTATTCTGCCAGCCAAAATGAATGATGTATTCATTAAAAAAATGGATAAGAGCTGAGAAGGTGGATAATAACCTTATTTATGAGTTTCAATTTGGTAAAGTATACCCCTAGAATAAAGAAGAAGGGGCTGAGAAAACTCACAAGAATAGTTCCAACCGATCATCTACTTAAATTTGAACGGGTTTTCAAAGCAGGAAAACGCATACATATGTCTATTTCAAAGCACAAAGAGTTCTAGATGAGATTCATTGGTGTTGGTGTTTTATAGACCGACTAGTAAATTTATACGAATGTCGCTTTGCTCCAGGAAGACGATGGTAGCATCCAAAACACACGAGGAGTTATATTGGTTCACGCCGGAGCCCTACGTCCAGTCCTATAGATGGTCGAGTGCGTGTTCCTCGCTTGAATACTCTGAAGTTCTTACAATGGGGGGTGCAAGAATGGTGGAAGAGATAGGAGAGCTAAAGCTAGGAGGTGGACCTCCCGAAGGAAAGCTTTGGGAGCCCAGAGGGTGTGTGGATGATCCAGAGAAGGGTGCCCTTACTGCCCTTATATAGAGTCCAGGGTCAGGCCACATACAAAGAAGAAGGTTCCCCGACCGAGGGGTCATGAGCCTGAGGGATGGGGCCTAGCTAACTTGGCTTGCAAGTAACACCGTCTTGTGGTGCACGTCGGTGCGTGACTGTCGTCATGGTCTTGTGCCCATGTCGCGGCATGGGTATGACATGGTGCTACAGTCCCGGTCATGGCGGCACTGTGGACGCGGTGGTGTTTCGCCAACCGTCTTGTGCGACGTGGTCTCGCCATGGCCTTCGTCATCGCCTCCTGATCATCGGGGGCGTCGTACAGGAGTTAGTAGCCGCCCCCGGGTCACCGATCGCCTTGTTGGTGGAGTTGGTGGCCACGATCCCCGGCTCCAGGGACGTGGTCCTTGCTGGCTTGGGTAACCTCTGAGTCAAGGCCACCGTCGTGGATCCCATCCCGTGGTGGGTGGAATCGTACATATGTCTCGTTATGTCGTATTTGGACGGTGGGTCTCCTACTTTCCATCACCACTGGGTGGTGTTGTCTTGTCTGCACTGCGTGGCACAGGGATGGCTCTGACCGGGCCAAGGTGACTGCTGCCCCTCAGTCCTTGCGGGATCAGTGCGGCGTGCCTGCTCCTGTTAGAGCAGGCGCGCTTGGTGAGCTCGATCTCTCCTCGTTCCTCGTAGGGGTCGGGACGGCTAGAGGTCGTGAGTTGATGCGTAGTGTGCGGCTAAGGCAGAGAGAAGGGCTCGTGGTGGACCCCGGCCTTAGTGTTTGGCCCAGTCCGCTCAGCTTAGCTGGGCCTTGATCGTTTGGGCTTATATTGACTGGCGTATTATGGGCCATCTGAGCAGCTAACTAATCGGTGTCTTGAGATATCTGGGATATCATAACCTCGACAGCTGGCGTTACTACAAGGAGACCGTGTATACAATTTTTTTGGCAAATACTATAAAAAAGATACTAGTAGAACCCAACAGCCTATCACAGCAGTGAGGGGGCACGAATTAGGTAGAGACATCAGGATTCAGATCAATGACTTAGGGGTGTTTAGATCTAGAGACTAAAGTTTAGAAGGTGTCACATCGAATATCATATCTATTGTTATATCGGGTGTTCGGATATTAATAATAAAACTAATTATAAAAGTCGTGACTAATTCGTGAGACGAATTTATTAGGCCTAATTAATCTATCATCAGCACATGTTTACTGTAGCACCATATTATTAAATTATGGACTAATTAGGTTTAATGGATTCATCTTATAAATTAGTCTTAATCTATATAATTAGTCTATGTTTAATACTTTAAATAGTGTTAAATATGTTTACCGTAGTCGATGTGTCAGGAACCAAACTTTAGGAGGTAACACTCCTTATTATTTTGAGTGGAAGGATGAGCAACGCACGCTGACTCGACAACGACGGCGACCGACGGCGGGCGGCGGGCGGCGGGCGGCCGGGTAGACTATACATCTAGGAGACCTGGCCGCAGTCGGCGATCTTGACCACCTTGGAGGTGGCGCCGCTGCTGCACCCCACATCCTCGATGATCTTGACGACGTCCATGCCACGGACGACCCTCCCGAAGACGACGTGCTTACCGTCGAGCCACGGGGCTTCCTCGCAGCAGATGAAGAACTGGGATGCGTTGGTGTTGGGCCCGGCGTTGACCATGGACACCGCGTACTTCTCGTGCTTTTGACTGAAATTCTCGTCGGGGAACTTGTCGCCGTAGATGGACTCGCCGCCGGTTCCATTGCCGCGGGTGAAGTCGCCGCCCTGGCAGATGTGCCCAGGGATCACGCGGTGGAATGTGGACCCCTTGTAGTGGAGCGGCCTCCCGCTCTTGCTGACCCCCTTCTCGCCGGTGCACAGCGCGCGGAAGTTCTCCGCCGTCTTGGGGACCTCTTTCGCGTACAGCTCCATCTCGATGCGTCCGGCCGGTGCGTCGTTCAGGGTCACCTCGAAGAACACGAGAGGGTTGGAGGCCGGCATCGATCACGGGGAGAAGGGAGGGCGTGCAGTGCAGTGGCAAAACTTGTGATAGCACTAGCTAGTAGTTTGGAGTGGTGGCACTAGCTAGTTTGGGGTGGCAGCAAGGATACAGTTAAAAGTAGGGCGGGCTAGTCAATGTCAAGGACAGGGGCTGGGATTAACCGAGGCGATAAGAAGAAGCGTGATGAGGAGTCAGCAAGGGAGGGCGTTCAGTGCAGTGGCAAAACTTGTGACGGCAACAGATGCATACACTGGCGGAGCCACCGCCCGGCCACCCCGGACTCCTCGCTAAAGTTTAAAATGATTTTTTCTTAAGATTTAAGTAGAATTCTGTAATTTTATAACTAAATATTTTTTGCATAATAAAAATTGTCCGGGCTCCTGAAAGCTAGCTTCTGGCTCCGCTCCTGGATGCATAGTAACAGGGCTGAGCTGCATTGCAGCCGCAGGTGGTGGAGAGGGAGAGAGAAGCTAGGGTTTCATTTTATATATGAGGAGTGGGCACATTTGTACTGTTGGATAGATGGAGATCCAATCATGGCATAGGGAAGCGAGGAGATAGAGGTGCTTGGCGCTCCTGCAATTAACGAGCTCTGCATGAGTTCCTATTTATGTGATGGGCGGTAATCTACGTACTCTTATAAAGCTAAACCCTATTAGATAGTTTTTCTCTTCATACCAGATGTTCACATCATTTCTCACTAAGTGATCCTACGGGATGTTCTATCTCTTCATGCAAGATGTCCACATCATTTCTCACTAAGTTCATGTCATCCCTTATTAATTAAAAAAATATCTATGTCATCTCTATCATGTGCAATACTTTTAATCTTTAATCCATTAACATGCAAGTCATTTACATCCGCTATTTATTTTATCACCTATGCATCTACAATGTAATCAAATATTCTATTGGTTTTTCTTCTATTAACTTACCAATTTTTTGACAGATCTGATATAATAAAATAACATGCAAGTTAAATTCATATATATACACAGTATACAGGATACTATATAGTAATGTTATTTATATAACAAATTTATTTTTAAGAAAATTCTAAGGCAACACGCGGATATGCTTCTAGTAATCTTGGATGTCAGAGAGAATATGAATGAAAGAAGGGAAAACAGACATGCCCTTGCTGCCACCGATGCGGCCGCGACTGCCATGGCGAGGTAGGCCACGTTGGGTGGAGGTTGACATGCACATTCGTGCCGTTGGATGGAGATGCAATCATGGCGCAGAGAAGCTGTAACATCTCACTTTTTAGAGTACTCCCTCTGGTTCGGAAAGAATCAATTTTTAGCTTAAAAAATTATCTCTAAAAGAATAGTAGATATCTAGAGGTGAACAGTCCATAGATCCACATTAATCTCTCTCGTAGTCTGAGTCGCATTTAACACAACCTCTCTCTCCTGTGTTGTTATTGGATACTCCAAACGACACTACTTAATTAGGCTTTTCGGTAATTAGAGAGCTATTAAGGTTCAGCAGTTTAATGAGGGGCAGTGTGGTCTTTTTTCTTCATTGCTAATATGTCCTAAAGTTGCTAGGAATTCATTCTTTCAGGGACAGAGGGAGTATTTAATTTAAAAATACGGACATTTTTTTAAAATAACTAAACATGTTTTTCTTTTTCAAATATTCAAAACCTTTTTACAAATAAAACTTGCATAAAGTACTAGCATATGTGTTGCATTTGATTGCTCTAGCAATCCTTCCTAAATCTTTCTTCTCAACCTTAGAAACGTTTCCTTGATAAACCTCCGCTTCCAAAAACCTTTTGAATAATATTTGAATTTTATTAAAAAAAATAATCCCATTCAAACCTTATGCTAAACTCCTTAATATCCAAATCCTTGATTCCATGTCAAACACTTTTTCACCATTAAATCCTCTAAAACTCCGAAATCCAAGGAAGAATATTTTCTTCTCCTAAAATCCTAGAATTAATATTTAAATCTAATTTGAATACTAATCCTACTCAAACCCCCCATGGAAACACTAGCTAAGCTCAAACATTTCCCTTTCTCAAACTCCTCCAAAAGCCTCAAATCTATGTCCAATAAAAGCCCTCACTACATACCCCATTCATTTCAAATTTGAACTCGAAATCCCTTTTAAATAAAAGAAAACCTTTTTCAAATCTTTACGGCCCGCAACCTCCCTTTCGGCCTGCTCCTTCCTCCGTCCTGCCCCGCCCTTTTTCCCGCACAAATCGGCCCACGTGGATTTGGAGCTTCCTCGTGCATCCTGGCCCCACGTGGAACCCACGTATTTGTAGTTTACATTATATGGAAAGTATAAAATATATTTAATTTTTTACGTGTGTGCGTGTGGTGTAAGTATAGAGTGTATGTGTTGTGTACGTCTGTCCGATAAAAAAAATTCCCTACACTATGTTCATCGGTGGTAGCCCTGCTACATTTTGGACTTTGCTTTCACTTCATAGACTCACAAAATATGATTGAATTATTCATTCACCGCTAACAAGTCATCGGCTTGGCACGGGGTGTTCGTATTTTTCTGAATTTATTTCAGAATTTAACGGCGCTATACTTTTAGTGGTAGACGACGTCTCCGTCGACAGCGATACGAGATGCTCATAGGGGTAGAGTTTGCGTATATGTGTTTATAGAGTGAAGGAACCTTCCGCGAAGGTCGATCTAGGTGGCCGTGCGGGAAATCAAAAATACGACCCACCTTAATAAAATTATTACATTAAAAAAATATGGCGTCCATTAATTTTCTGAATCCATCATCGAAGCCAGGAGTAACACTCAGTCAAACCTCGATGTAATTGTTGTAAAAAAAAACCTGGATGTAATTGTCGTTAGCGCTACATCAACCAACCTAACAAATGTGGCGTCCGACTGAATGCTCCCTAGCTACCCCATGCTAGCTAGCTGTCTTCAATAACCCGGCACACATGAGAATTGAGAATGCTCCCAAGCTACCCCGCTCGGCAATCCATAGCTACGCACACTCCATGCTCCATGAGGTGAAGAGGGTGTGTGCACAGGCCCGGTCCTGTCAGTTCAGACACATGGAGCGAAGCTAGGAAGGTGGGCCCTTTAATACAACTCTAAAAAATTATTCGCTGCCCTAGTTAACATCATATCCTGACTCCGTAAGGATTCCTAAATCCCTGTATTCTAATGAAAAAGATTAGGGTGAAAAGCAAATTAAATCTTAATTAAATATATATACTTGACATACATCAATCAAAGGGGAGCAATTATTGGATACCTCCGTACGAAACTTTGGATGTCTTGTCTACGACTGCCCTAGTGCCTGAACGGAGAGTGGGCTGGACGCCGCCGGCCAGCAGGGGGGCGCACGACCGATCGATGATGGCACAAGCACAACGCGCAGTCGCTGGTCGCAGCGGAGCGGCCGCGTGGCAGAAGGGCAAACCTCGATGCGCCGACGCGGAAGCCAAAACGATGGACGCGTTTCACTTTCACGTACGTGCCTCTCCGTGTCCTGGGCTCCTGGCTTTCCTATGGGCTATTGGGCTCTTATACCTACAACTTACGTACATGGGGTTGGGCCGAGGACGGTAGGAGCGAGCCCCCGTAAGTGATGGTTTGTTTAGTTGCTGCTCAAGTTTGGCCGCACCTAAGCTGTCTGAATCTCATCTGCGAGTGAATGTTCTCTTTGCTGCACCCGGTGATCTCTCGTCGTTGCTCTTCTTTGTGTGAACGTACCCCTCGTTCGGATTCGTGTGCAACTGTAATGTATCCTTCAGAGTTCAGACTTTCGGCATCTCGAGTCATGCATGCGTGCATCAACTGAGAAAAATTGAAACCGTTTCCCATCGCAGTTGTTCGATCGGGGAAGAGTTCGTTTTCTTTTTGTGAACCTGTTCCGGGAATAGTTGTGTTCATCTTTGAACAGAGGATGCATTAAACTAAACTCTTTGGAGAATCTAAGTTTATTGTTTTTTATAAGGAGAATGTAAGTTTATTGTTGGTCCCTTACATGGATATGAGTAATTAGCCACCGTATTTTTTTAATTTCCCCCAAAGAACAACGAATTATTATATTCAAGAGAAGCATGTTCGCTTGGGCAGTTGGGGCTACTAAAGCCACTGCCGGCGTCGCCCTTATCCGTTCCCCCCTTAATCCTTCCGCAAAGTTTTTGCCCAGTAGTCGGCATGTCGATGACTTTTCTACCACGTATAAACGTCCGCACGAACGGTCTTGCACCTGCCCACTCGCTCGTGCGGCCGGGGAAGTCTTCGGATTGAATCAAGAACCGAATCCGTTGGGGCCCCTTGAACTCGAGGGCCCTGTGCCACCGCACTGCTCGAACCCCCCCAGGGCCGGGGCTGTGTGTGCATGTTCCAAGTAGCTGTAGAAGCTAGCGCCGGGAATCATAATGGCCGACGTGGCGTTCGATGCCGTCAAGTTGGTGGTGAACTTCATCCGCGAGGAGGCCCGGCTGCAGGGCAGAGCCGGCGACGACGTGCGGTTCATCATGGACGAGATGGAGAGCATGAACAATCTGCTCCACCAGCTCGTGTCGATGACCATGCCCAATAATCGTTACACTGCCGGCGGCGGCGGCGGCGACTACAGCCACCTCCGTACGTGGATGAAGCAGCTGTTGGAGCTCGCGTTCGACTCGAGGAACTCCGTCGAGCTCTACATTCAGTCCGGCGGCGGCGACAGCCACTGCTACTGGCTGCCCTGGGCAATGGTAGCACGTCACCGGGTTGTTTCCCGGATCCGCGAGCTCAAGGAGCGGGCGCGAGAGATCAGCGAGCGCCAGGTGAGGTATGGCGGCGGTCTTTTGCCTGCGCAGCGCCAAGATGGCAACGCGGAGGACGCCGGCGATCGCAGTGCTGTGTCCAACTCCAACCAGAGGCAGAGGCGCGCCCATGCAGGCAGCAGCAGTGTTGTCCGACGCGCCATACTCGACCGCGAGTTTGTCGACAATAGCAGCGTTGATGAGGCTCTCAGGCGGCTGGAGGTGTTGATCAACTCTGACGAC